AAAGTTAAGTACAATTCAAGTATTTAACAAAATAGTTTTATTTTATATTCATCTGTTTCAGGACTGTGTGGGTACAGTTTTGATTTAACAGCTTGGGAACATAAGCAGACAACCCACCAACTGGCATCACATTGAAAATCCGACAATGTCAAATCTTGATTGGTGCACTGAATTAGGTAAAATTAGCTTTTTCCAGATGAGCTCTGTTCACATCAAACTTGTGAGAAATTATATATTATAGTATATTATAGAATGCTTGATCAGCACCAGCTGTTTCTTCCTGCCGCACCTTCACTTCCTAAACCTCCTCCTCCTCCTCTGCAACACTGTTGGTGTGCGAGAGCGATATTGATACAAGTATATGTGCACCCCCCATAAATTGTATTCTGTGGTAAATGCTGCAGAGAAAGTGAAACAAAAATCATGGATCTGCCCATTTATTTGGATCCACACCAAAATTGAATGGGTAATTCTTTCCTGACCCATACGGCATCTCTGTACCAAGTTCCGTGCTAATCTGTCCAGTAGTGTCTGCATAATGTTAACAACCTCCTTGGTGGAGGAATTGATACATTTTTGAGGGAATGGTCAATTTGAGAACATTAAACGATGGCGATGTCACATTATAATCAGCATTAACATCACAAACGATTGTTGAACTTTGTTTAGAAAAGTGACAAAAATATATGATTGATTCCTTTTCCATTGCCCATCTATGAGTTGCACTTAATGGTTACAGTCTGTCATGGCTAACTTCCACTCTCTGTTAATCAACACTGTTGTGTGACAACTCCCTGAAAGAGCCTTTCCCACCAAATCTAGCTGTAATTTGTTCACATCAATGTTCTGTTCCTTGACGTTAAGTACATTTGACGGAACTGCTCTAAATATAACAGTAAAATTTGTGCTGACGTAGAACCCATCACTCATATTACGAATCCAATTGAGAAAATAGGTTTTTAGAGCCTTTATGTTTCTGTCTGCTGCTTTGACATCAGCCTCCGCTGGCACATAATCTGTCGCAAGATATATACAAACTCTATTTACCTGTTAAACACTTCATCACAGACTACACAGTTATCTGTGACCTCTGTGTGCATCTGAGTGAAAAATAAGATGCAAATTATAGCGTAACTCAAAAATGCTGACCTATAAAGAAGAAATCCAAAGATGAACTGAAGTTGAACCGTTCTGATACTAAATAAAACACATGCCTATTTGTGGTGCATGCTGGGTTTGAAATTGATGCTGAAGCAGCAATAAACTACATTCTCATGCAAAAACATAGCAGTAAACATATACATTAACAGAACACTGGAGAACTGCTCTGGTCTGATATGCTGGGAATGAAACCACATTACCTTTAAGATCTCCAAACCCATGTAACATGAAGATATCCCGCTCAGTGCATCAATTGTAACCCCCCCACTTCCCCACCCCACCCTCTCCTTCCTTTCTTTTTTTCCCCCAATATCTGCCTCCCCATCTTCTCGCTTCGTTGGGGCTGCCACTCCATTAATCTTACCAACAGCCTGCCTCTATTAATTAGTCTACATCTCCCATCTTGCATGTAATTATCAGAGTTAATGGAGATATTAGGAAGATATGGATATTTCTGCAGTCACACAATCACTTTTAATTAGCCGGAAGATTAATGATTGAGTCACCGCTACCTAGCTGGCGTTCAGACCGAGAGCGCAGGATATTTTTAATGTGTCACTTTCCAAAATATATCCATATCCATCATTTCTCACAGGACACTTCATGTAGCGAAGGTAAAAATGTGTCTGTGCCTCTCGACAAAACAAGTTTCCAGCTTGTCATCTGTGACATTTTCAGGGTGAAAATTGTACTTCGAAGACACATAACTTACTGACTGTGCATAAATGAGACAATAAAACCTGGTGCTCTAAAGCAAATGCAACTGCAATGCCATTTAATCGTAATGTATTGGGGTCGTTACTGTGGGTTCAATTAGATAATGAAGTAAGTGTCTGTACAGCATGTCTGTAGTTAATTGGAAGGTCCCGGGTGCACAAAACAGACAAGATGAACAGACAGGTGTAATTACCAGTGTTATGTTATGGTGTGTGTGTGTGTGTGTGTGTGTGTACCTTGAAGTGTTGAGCAAGTGTAGTGGCTAAAGATAATTATACACTAGACTACATATTCCTGTCACAGCTTTTCCCTGCTGACACACGAAGTGGATTCCGTCAGATCTCATGACTAACATTGATTCTCGGGACGCCGTGCCAGACAAAAAGACCTATTCTTTCAAAGCCACTGGGGCTGAACCATGCCATATTCAAGTATCTTGGGCCATGAAATACTTTGCCTTTGCAAGAACTCTGTCCTGTAGCTTCCTTGGGGCAACAAGCTCATCCAGTTTAATGGTTGATGTTCCTGGACCGCTCCCTGTAGACCCGTTACTCACCCTAACCCTGTCAGATCACTGCCTACAGGGCTCTCATAATGAAGAGAATATAAAATTGAACACAAGACCCCAGAGCACATCATTAAACCATTTTCTATTATGTTACTCAGTATAAAAGCCAAAGAAAACCCTGCTGCCAGGTTGTTAAAAAACCCAGAGCCACTGCTTCTGGTGGGATGCTCAGGTCTCTGCGGTTTAACTGGTTGGGCAATCCCAGCACTCTTTTCACATCATGTTTCTCACAAGGGAATCTCACAGGAGGCGTTTTAGCTGTTTACTTCAAAGACAATCCAATGAAATCCTCAACAAATGTCCTCTTAGCTTTACAGTTCAATTTACAGCATTATTATTTCCTACTAGAGTTCAAAAAGTTCTTGAAGGTTTAGGGCTCAAATGATTGGTCTAAGGTAAAGTATTTCTTAGCTTGTAAAGCTTAACGTCTAAATTTAAATCTCAGTAAAGCCCAATGCACAAAACTTTTGAAAAAGTTACCAGTGGAGCCTGAGAGAGTTTTACTGAAGTAGAAACTAGGAGAGTTATATTAGATTCCTCTTTGTTTTTGTGCCAACACCACAATTTCAGTACCATTTCACCTTCTAATGAGAGAGACTACAACTCATCCTAAAACTTTAACAGTTTTCAGCTTCCAGATCAAAGCAGCAATTGATACTTGTCTAAGAGGATGACCAGAAAAGTAAAACCCAAGCTTCATGAACTTTCTTCAATTCTTATAGAGAGTTTGAAACTTATAAACATTCCACTGCACTTTTCACGGGGTGATATCGTACTTTTTTTCTTACTAGTTATATAGCAGATCCTGATTTTACATACCTGCAATGATACATTTTTATAAATTCAACTTGACTACAACAGGCAATAATGGAACCCTGAAAAGAACCATTCTCTTCAATGTGTACATACAGCTTCTGTGTATAACCATGATAAATACACTAAATGCATTTGGGTTTAATATCAAAAGGTGAATTTCAGACAAGGGTTTATAATTAAACCCCGCCCTCCTGTATTTAAACCTGAATGCATTTAACAACTTGAAACCTTTTTGGACCACTTAGTTTTAGGTTAGCAAATGATGAGAGTCTTAAGGTAAAGTTTGACATTTGGTTGCATGTTGATTTCTCGCAATAACTGGATCAAGCCTAGACTGAATCACTAAACTGTGGTTTTGTTCATTTGTGATGATTCCAGGCTATTTCAGTTGTTTTAGGGGCTTCCTCATTTCAGTTTCGACTTCAGGATGTAAAACACTGCTCCACTGGGTCAAGGTCCAGTTATTACCTTGGACAGTCTGAATTCTTTCACTCCCCCCCCCCCATTGAAGTCTTTTGTTGTATTGATTGACTGTTTTGGCTCATTGTCCTGCTCCATGATGAAGTTTCTCCTGATTAGTATGGATGCATCTCTCTGTACATTGGCTGACAGTGTTTCTGTGGACTTGTGGATTGATTCTGCTGCTCCCATCATGAGCAACATCATCAATAAAGATTAGCGAGTTTGTTCCAGAAGCAGCCATGCACACCAAAGCCACAGCACCACCTCCACCAGGCTCCACAGATAAGCTTGTATGCTTTGGATCATGAGCGGATCACTTCTCCTCTCCATCACTTCAGTAAAGGACAATCCTGATGTCACCAGCTCATAAAACTTCTCTTTACTTTGCACATTTCCAACTGACCTTCGGATTCTTACTTCTAATGAGGGGTTTGCATCTTCCTCAAACAGTTGATTGTGTTACCTTCACCCAGTGGTAATGTCACTGGCTCGTGTTTTGGGGGTTTTCTTCACTGCTCTTCGTGATGTTTATGTCCTCAGCTGCTGTTGTCCTCGGTCGACCTGTTTGATTCTTAGTACAGAAAATTGTTTCTCATCAAGACATTTAGAATTGGTGTGTTTGCTATGCCCAATGTTTGTGCAATGGCTCTGATCGATTTCCCATCTTATCTCAGCTTTAAAATGGCTTGTTCTTCATCAATAGACAGCTCTTTTCTTGTTTTTTCATTGTCCTCTCTTTTTAAACAACAAATGCAGTCTTCTCGGGTGAAAGCTGAGTAGACTTTCAGAGCTATTTAATGTGAAGGCAATCAATCTAAAAGGCAATATCTGGGCAACAAGACACGCCCGTCAGTTACAAGTTGAGGGGGTTCAAACAGAAGATGCTATGTTTAGTTGTAAATGCCTGGAACTAAAAACAGATTTTTTTTATCTTTAACTCAGCTGTGCAGCAAAAACTAAGGAATTACCATTTCAATACTTTAAGATGAGCATTTAAAGGTTTATGGCAAAGAAACTCAAGCGAGAGCCTCAGGCGATTGTTTCCAAGACAGCAGCCAGAATGATCAATGAGAGGATGTGCTGAAGAAGGTTCAACATATTTTGAGCTGAACTATCGTGATGAGTCGGTCATTCAGAGAGAAAATTATTTCTAAATTGAAATGAGAGACATGCACACTCATGCACCTCCAGCTCACAATGAAAGCTTCTCTGAAATGTTTTGCCGTTTTGAATTTTAATCATATTCATATTTGTGTGTTTGTGCGTGTCTGTGTAGTCTCAGATGAAGATGAAGTCTGCGGGTGTCGTGGATGGAGGCTTGTTCACAGAGAGCTATTGTAACATCTGCAATGCCCAGCTAATCTCCGAGTCCCAGCGCACCGCTCACTATGAGGTGAGTCTGTCTTTGCTCGGGTTTGGAGAATTTATGTCAGCTTCCTCTTTTTACCATCACTACACACACACACAGGTCGAAATAGAGGATCTCACACAGGAACGATCGCACACAAAAAAACAAACAAATGCTGCTTTGATTACTGCATTGACTATTCACTTTGCATCAGCCTCATTTGTACCAATTTGTGCTTGTGCTCAAGCATTACACTTTGACTTAATGCAGCATGCTATTGTCAGTCACTTGCACACCAACAAACACACATGTGCACTTTGTTTTAATGTAGTCTACTTCTCAGCAGGCTCCCCGAGAGTATTTTAATGAGCATCCATAAAATAGTCAGTGCCCGTGCATTATTTACCTGGATTTGTGCATTGTGTATGTGCGTGTACATTTGCATGTGCACTTGTGCACATTCCGCATTGAGGTCGTCCTTGATTACAAGACACAATTGGGATTAATGAGCAGACTAATGAGGACAAGGGCCTCATCTAGAGAGAATTAAGCAAGGACAACGGCAGCATGTGCGTCCGCAAGACTGTGTACAAACCACAGTAATCCAGCTGTGTCTCAGAACCTACATCTATGACAACAATACACGGCCTTGGGTTGTGCAGACAAATGTACATGCTGAGTCACTGCCTGTCCTCAATGTCAACCTTAACAAAGGATGTCTGCAGTGGACAGCAGATAAAAGAAACTGCAAGAAAGGCTGATTGAATAATGCTAAAGAGCAAGGAAGGTCAATTTTTACTTACATCACATATGTCATTCACAGGGTAATTAAAAAGACACAGAGACAATAGAGACAAGTTTTAGAAAGAATAATAATTATTGGAGATGAATTACTGAGGAGCTCAGGGTTAAAAAAAAACAGGGATCTTCTTTCCCATCTTTATTCAAGCGCATGGTCGCAGTTTGAAGGCCACAACTCGCTTTTGGATTTTTGTGAAATATCAAAATATCCAGCTGAATTCCCCAACTAATAGAATACATGGTATGACATTGACCAATGAAATCATTACTTTGCATTTCTTGGTATTCTCCTTTCCCTTCTTATTCAACTTCCCTCTTCTTCTTGTCGTCTTCCAACTTTTCCTACTCCCTCTTCTCCTCCATCTTGTACTCCCTCTTCTACCACCTTCTCTTTCTTGATATTCTTTCTACCTCTCCTCCTCCTTTTTCATCCTCTTGTCTTTATTGTTCTTCTTTTCATCAGAAGTGACGTGTTTAGAGGCGAGGACGTGAGATCCAATCACAAGCTTTCACTCAAGCCGCATGTGTAGGAATGCTCTCTCACCCTCCTAGACTGTCAGATTACCAAACTTTTCATTGGACTCAGGAGTCAGAACACCACTGTCTGATATTGTGAATTTGATCATGTGCGAGTCACACACTTTCTACATGCGTACACAAACGCACAAGGATGATGTGGCTTATATTTTAAAATAGTTGTTGCCTTGCCTGTCCGTCTCTTCCAATTTGATCCGACACAGAGACAGAGGGGACAGGGCGACATGCATAGTCCATTAGGAAAGGATGAGCACTGAGGGTCAGTGTAGGGTAACCATGGTGACACGCAAAGTCCAGCTTTTAGCCCACATCCCAGAGACATCAAGTACATGACCATTTATACACCTATAAACACAAGCATGCTCTCAGACACACAAAAACACACACACACGCTCTGACAAAATGCATTAAAGTAGTCTGACAAGTGTGGAGCTGTCTTGTCTTGGGGGCAGAGGATTCAATCTAAGCACTGGAGCAGCCAGTACAGTGTCTTACCACAGTCTCCAGTTTGCTTTCTCTGTGTACGGCTCAACCATGATACACACTCATTTTCATCTAAATAACGTAATTGCACTTATATTTTGAATTCTGGCTCTGGACTAGAAGCTGCTTTTTTTTTTTCTCTAGGGGACAAGGGATTCAATATGGGGGGGGGGGGGGCAGTTTGGGAGTCATACTTAGAGTGGTTTAGTTTTTGTACATACAAGTGCAGTACCTATTCTAAACCAGCCAGGTTGGAATGGGATGTCTGCTTGGCCTGTTTTAATGCTGGTGGCAGCTTTCTGTCCGAAACTGTGAAAATGACCTGCAGTAATTGAGCTTCGGCGAGTAAAGACCAGCGGCAGGACTCAGAACCCTGATGCTGCACCACCTCTGCTGCACAAAGAGCTGCTAACCTGTTTATTCTAAGTTCAGCGAAGCTCGAGTCAGTACACAGAGCCCTGCGCTGGAGATTCATATTGAACGTATCATTGCATTAAATTCAACATTACACTTTCTTGAGCCCTTAACCGTACATATGCCAAGTGTTAAGAAGATGAGATGATTGTTCTCAACATATGTGAGCCACAGAGGGAAAAAGGTTTCTGGAATTAGGTGATCGGTGCAGCTCTATGAAGAATAAACATAATTTTCTTGAATAATGATCCTAGTCGTCCTGTTGTCTTTTCTGTTCTTTATTCTCTCTTATCTTTGAGGGCTGGTTGCAGGCCACCACCTGAGCAGTATATAACAAGTGTGGATTCATGACTTAAAGATAATGATCCAATACACCACAGAATTTCCCATAAGGCTCTACTTGAACGCTCCAGCCCTTAACGCTCTTCATAATCTTGACTTGTATCGCTGCACTCTGTCGTACGCGGCAATAAAGATGCTATTTCTATGCGTGTCAACACTTGCTCCTGGAAAACAGCACCAGCAGTAGAATTTATAGATAATAATAGATGTTACTTAGCGGGAAGGAGTGAAGGTCAGAGCGTGCCGATAAAATTAAAAGTATGGAGCAGAATAGCTGTGTCAACCTTGTGCACAAACACAAAGAGCTGTCGAAACACATACACATGATCTCGTTTTCCCGCCTGCAGTATGTCGGCTGATTTTTATCGTTTTGCATTAAGGTGACAGTTAGCAGCTTCAAGGACGGCTCACTGTCCTTTCATATGAACACTAATGTGTATTTGTGCTTGTTGTAGCTTGTAGGCGTTATAGTATTAAGTCCAGGTGACAGGAGCAGACATAAACACACAGGCCTGGAAACAGGATCTGTTGTTAGTGAGGTAACTCCAGGCTATATAACGATGGTTCACTTCATACCCTGATAGCATCGCCATGGTAACTCATGCTTAACACCTAACCTGCTTCGGAGCAAGTTGTGTGTTAAAAGCCCCCCCTACCGAACAATCAGTTCCCTTGGTAAGATGTATGACCATCCAGAGGAAGTGCAGTGGATAGCGAGAGGGTCAGAGAAAGCCTTTGGCGTTTCCTGAAGACTTTTTATACGAACGACCCTCATTACTGCAGAGGGCCAGTTCCTCAGCAGGAGGTTACCCCTGTGTGGGAGGGCCCCCTGCCATCTTCTTATTTTCATATTTAAATTTTTCTTTTGGCTGCAGGCGGTGTCATTGTGCTTTCGTATAGTTACTGATATCAACCCACAACAGACTCATTTGAAGCGCTAAACCCGTGTACATATGACGGTCAGCCCTCTGACTGCTTTGAATTGGGTTTTTTAATTTTATTTTTTGTCAGACACCAGACCACGGTTGGTGACAAGAGAATATGTAAATAAAACTGTCATACACACCCATAAGTAAACATCTAAACTACACATTCATTAGATAAAATAAACACAAGTTAGTATAGATCTTCTCATGCTTTCATGAAGGGATAATGAAGTGAAGGGGAGCCTGTTAACTTAAGTATTCACATAGTTTATCTTGTCAGCAGTCCTTCCCACAGAAACCGTGGTTTTTAGCCTGGACTGTGTGTGTACTTTCTTTGCATTTATCCACTTTATCCACAATTAGAAAAATATAATTATTATTATATTATGTTTTGTAGAATACACCCACGGCTACACAGTGTGAGGATTTGTGACTAAAAATACATGTGCAATCTGTAGAAGATATTCTGACTTTTTTAGCATTTGGAACTAAAAAGAACAAATTTATTATCAAGGAGTTTATATTATTTATACTGTTGATTCTCTACAGTGCAGCATATGCAAGTGATAATTTGCATTTGTGAATATGAATTATTATTTGGCACCGGAGTTGGAAAGATGCACATGTTCCCTGAGCGGCGACAAAAATACTTATTAGCAAATCAGTGAAGAAAACAGTGAGCTGCAGCTTCTCATTTTTAGCCAGCTCCGAGCGTCACTGTCGTCTGCAACAAACGTCATATCAGCCGTCACTGAGTAAACTGAGCTGTCGTCGGTTTGTGTGCTCTCAGCGAGCTGTTGTCAGTACTTGTCGAAGATAAGAGTCAAACCACCTCTCTGTAACAACCAACAGTGAACCGTTTCATCAGTTCCAACAGTTAGATTGACTCCCTCACTCCCTTTAGCAGTTCACTGTGCCAGTGTCAGCCCCCCCACCACTTCTCTATCCAATGTTGTACTCGGGGCTTCCAGAGAGCTGAGACTTGCCCGGGCCGTTAGTCACCGAGCAAAAAATGTGTCCTCGCATCATCAGATGAAACAGATATAAATTCTTGGAGCAGAGCGTCAAGCTGGAGTGACAGTCAGAGATATTTTTTCCCCACCCAGCGTATTTAATAAAATAGAATTCAGTTCACTGACGGTTTCTTTCTCTCTCTCTCTCTTTCTCCCTCAGAGTAAGAAGCACGCCAACAAGGTGCGTCTCTTCTACATGCTTCACCCAGAAGACGGAGGACCGCCGTCCAAGAGGCTGAGGCCAGATAACCCAGTATGCATCTCACTGAGTGTGTGCCTCTGTGTTTGTGTTGCATAACATACAGACATATTTAACTTGATTATAGTTTGTAAGATTCATTCATTCAGATATCTCCATCTGTTTTTCTGTTTGTCTTTTGGTTTGACCAAAGCTCATCTGATCGACTTCAGCCTTGTCAGGTGGATTTCAGTGCAGTGTCTTTTAGATTTATATTAAACTGCACCTGCTGGTTGACAGCGAAGTGACATGACAGTGTAGCTTCGTCTGTGCCATGCACCAACAGGCACATTTTGAGCTGGCAAAAAAACTGTGAACTACTTGAGCTATACTTGAGATTTACCTGCTCTGCAGTGAAATCACTACATTGATGATGTTTGTGGAAGGAGAACTAATTGCATGCTGACATTTGGACTCAATTTGCAGCTAGTTGTCATTGATTTAGATCATTAAAAAAACGAATCGACTCGACTCAGTCTAATCTTTAGATCGGCCTGTTCGTTCTTAAGCTTGCCCATTGCAGTCGAGTGCTCATGGGAACATTTGTGTACAATAATTCTCCCAAGAGACATTGTGCCTTAGCTGTGGTGTTTCTCGTGAGATGTTGGGGAGACAGATGCCCCAGGACTGCTTTATGTCTGACTATTGGGGGCTATGCCGAAGGAGGTTAGTGCTTTGCTAGTGTTTGTGTGTCTGTCTGCACGTATGTGTGTGTGTCTGTCTGTGAATGTGTATGTGTGGTGTAGACGGGCCATTATGTCTGTGTATTTCTAGGCTTCTAGGATCCTGTTCTGCAAATGGAGCAAATGCTGGGGTTGCAACTACAGATTTTTGACTTGCATTTGTCAGTCGCTGAGTGTGTGTGTGTTTGTGTGTGTGTGTGT